GCTGAAATCAAACCCTTCCTGTCCTTTAGGGAAGGGGGAAAAAAAAGATGAGAGCAAGCATCCCAGATTCCATAACCTTTGATGTGGCAGCATGTGTTTGGTAGCACAGGGGATGGGGCAGCTCTGAGTCTTTGTTGGGGCCGTGGGGTCAAAAATTCAACTTGCTGGGAGGGTGAGTTGTTGGGTCTCTGTTGGGTCCAGGTAAGATCCCCAGGTGAGAGCATCAAAGCTCAACATCTGCTCAGTTCTGGGCTCCCCAGTTCAGGAGAGACAAAGAACCATTGGCGAGAGTCCAGCAGAGGCTACAAAGATGCTGAGGGAGCTGCAGCATCTCTGTGCCCAGGAAAGGCTGAGTCCTGGGGCTGTTCAGCCTGGAGAAGAGAAGACTTGGAGGGCATCTGATCAATACTGAGCAAGAGCTAAAGGGTGGGGTGCGAGAGGCTGGGGCCAGACTTGTCAGAGGTGCCCAGTGACAGGACAAGGGGCAACGGGCACCAACTGGAACCCAGGAGGTGCCACCTGAGCAGGAGGAGAAATTTCTTTGCTGTGAGGGTGCAGAGCCTGGAGCAGCTGCCCAGAGAGGCTGTGGAGTCTCCTGCTCTGGAGAGATCCCAAACCCTCCTGGCTGTGACCCTGGGCACCCTGCTGTGGGTGAGCTGCTGGAGCAGGGGGGTTGGATGAGATGATCCCCAGAGGTCCCTTCCAACCCCACCCTGCTGGGATTCTGTGGTTACCAAGCTCCTTTCCAAACCCATGAAGGAAAAGCATCTTTAGGTCAGCAAAGGAGCGAGGACCACCCTCAGCCTAGCTGGCTGTGCTACATCTCCCATCCATACATCCCACCCTAGCTGATTATTAAATCATATTTGCTGATCAGTACGAGATGTAATATCTATTACACAGCTGTTAAACCTCAATTATTATGTTTTAATGATCAGTCGTTTACTGCGCCATATACAATTAACATCCGGTATCAGATCTTAAATTAAATGCATGTTTGGGAAGTTAAATTTGCAGCACTGAATGAAGCTGTGCCACAGTAAACGGCGATAATTGCATCCAAGAGACAATATTTCTGTGCCCTGAGAGGGGGTTAAACCAACACGCCTGGCACCAGAAGAATGGGGAATTGATGAAGTAGTTGGGCTCTACTTTTCTGGTGGGTTTTGATGCCTGCAGAGGTTTTAATATTGGGGGGAAAAAAAAAGCATCCTGATGTATAGCTGCTGAGTTCCTGCGTGTGTGAAAGCTGAATTGCTGGAGCTCACACTGGGGATGGGCTCAGAATAGTTGTTTTTTTGGCGAGGGTTGGGCAGGAGAAATGGGCCATGAGTTGTGCTTCAGGCTGTGCTGGGTCTGGGGGATTCAGAGCTGCAGCCACGGGCTGAGGCTCAAATCAAAGGCAAGACTCACGTTGGCTGCTGGGAGAGGAGCCCTCGTTGCACTGCTGGGGTTTGCAGCCACGCAGGGAAGCCAATTCAGTTTTGGGTGTTCTCCAGGCAGGGGCTGGTGGCCACAGAGGGCAGCATGTGTGGGCGAGGGGCTGCAGAGTGCAGGGGTGGCAGTCAGCAAGAGTGCAGGGGGTGGAGGAACCCACGAGTGGCTTCTGAAGGTTAGAGAAGGTGTAAAATATTCGGCATTTTTAATTTGAATTCCTGTGGAAGATGGGGTGCAAAGGGCACCCTCTGATCCCTGCTGCTGTCTCTGCTGTGAGGAGGGAGCCCCCGTTGGCTGGTGGGACACTGAAGGACCCAGCCTCTTCTCAGCACTTCGCTGCCTTGTTAGCACAAGGTTCATCTTTCCCATGAAAAATGGGCCTGAAGAAGATGAGGAGAAATCTTACTCTCTTCCTTGTCCTCACACCTGGGGGGAGCAAATGAAGACTGATCTGTTTTTCTTCTAGCCTTTCAGTTTCAATATGCAGTGATGCATCTTCTGAGGAGACAAAGCCTTCACCCCCATCTTCTCTCCAAGGAACGTGTCTCTCACTTCATCACTTTGCTCTAGCAGATGTAACCTCTGTGGAGATTTAGAGACAGGACAGAGCTGCTGCCTGGGCTCAGGGCTCCCCTGGCACCAGAAGGCCATGTGTGGGAGCTGCCAGCCCCCTCCTGCAGCCTCCTGCCTCATTGTCTGTTCATCTTCTATACTCCCAAACTTGCTACGAGGTTTGTTGGGTTTATTTTGGGGGCACCTTTCTGCTGGTCTTTGAAAGGTTTAATTTTTTTTTTTTCTGGTTAATCAATGCTTCCTTCTCTCTTTGGAAAGGCAAAGTAGAACACACCCAAGTCTGATTAACACTCTCAATGGTGTGGTCTCCCTCCTGGGTTTCCAGATCTCATTTGGAGCTGATGAGGGTGACCTAAAGGTTTCACTCAATGGGCTCTTTTGTGCCAGGATTCTGTACAACTCTCAACACTTGGTCCAGAGCTGACCTTTCTCTGTAGCTATTTCTGAAGGAGAAACGGTGAGAAATAGAGTCAAGGTTTGGGAAAGAACCTCCTGGATGAGGGCATGCTGATGTTTTGGTGGTGGATGATCACCAATGTTTTGACTGGGGGAAAGCAGCCTGTCTGAGGGACCCCAGTGTGTGACCCAGCCCTGACTTGGGTGGTGGGTACTGAGGATGGAGGGGGTGGGAGAAAGCTGGTGATTTCCTTTGGGAGGTGAAGGTCAGGCAGGGAGTGATCTCTTGGAGCAGCTCAGCACCTAGGTTATTTTTCACAGGGGATGCAAGTGCTCCTGGCTGTGAGCTTTGGCTGTCCCAGCTCTGTGCCAGGAGGGGACCCCAGAACGTGCTGTTGCCTCCTGAATCTCCTTCTTACAGGCAACAGCTTGCACTTAGGCCAATATTCTGCATGCCCTCTTGGGGGGTCCAGGTAGGGGTTAAAAAAAGTGTCCTTCACATGACCAGTGAGCTGCATTTCTGCTGAAGCCAGAGTCCAGAGGGGAGGTGGAAAGGGCAGAGCCAGCAGTGCAAGCTGATCCTCTCTGGAGACCAGATGCGTTGAAGCAGCACAGAGCAGAGGAAATCTGATTCTCTGTTGATGGAGCTGCCTTGGCCATCTGAAACTGTGCTGGGCAGAGGGACAGGAGAGGGCAGGAAGGTGCTGAGCTGGTGTGGCCAAAACACCTTCAGCCTGGGCGAGGCTCCTCACCCCAGCACGCAGCCCCTTCCCCTCCTCCTGCTCGCAGGGGTGAAGATGTGGGGTGGTGGGATGGGGCCCATGGCAAGGACAAGTTGGCATCTTGGGCCAGATTCACTGTAACAGCTTCCAGAGCTCACCCTTAGCCTGTGATTTAGGCACACATGAACAGAATGGGACCAAAGATTAAGTGTCTATGTGTGGTTTGCTACTTCTTCCTCCTCGGGGTTGAATCTCATGACCTTTCAACCTTTCAAAAATCTTCTGAGTTATCTTTAGGGTTATCTTACATCCAGGGTCCATTGTTCCTACAGTTCAGGTCACTCTTTGCTCTTGCCCCTGCTACATCCCAGCTCTAAAACATGCTGCTTGAGAATGGATGCTCAGGGAGATGCCACAGTTAAGCAGGCAGGCTCTACTGTCCTAGGGTGTGCTACAGAAACATCTTTATTCTATTTATTTGGTGTTTTTTTACCCCCCTTTTCCTTTCCTCAGAGCAGAATAATGTTCCAACAACTCCTGGATTTTGTTCCCAAGCCCTATGTCTTTCCTGTGGGTCCAGGCTGGACTCTAGTGCTTCAGACAAGGTTTGCTGTGGAGTTTCCAACATAGATGTTTCTCCTGTGGAACCCAGGAAGATCCTGCCAGCTGCCCTGCTGGCTTCAGAACAGCTCTGCTTTCGGGCAAAGACATGAAGGTGACTTTCACAGTCATCTATCTTAGGCACTAAGTTGGATTGCACATCACCATGGGATCAAATTATCCCAGTCTTTCAAAGTAATCGTTTTTTGCAAGAGTACTGTGGGACATACTGGTCATTCTGTAACATCCTGTTGATCAAGAGCAGGCACAGGCAGGGGGGGAATAAATTCCTCATCTATTTTCTCTGTGTTCTCCTAAAAGCTGCTTTGTGGCAGAGCACATCCAAAGCTGTTAGTGAAGTTCTACACACTCAGCAGGTTATCCACTGCTGGGAACACCTACCTTCCACAGGTTGCCTTTAGCATGTAGCCTTCTCCCTGCCTCAGAGATCACCCCAAGGATAGAAACATCAGGTCAAGGAAGTGTGGGAGCCTGTTTGGGAGAAGAAACAACAGCAGCTTCTCCACGCTGGCCCAGCTGCTGCATCCACCCGTGTGTGGCAGGGCTGGTGCTGGCCCCTTGGAGAACTTTGGTGTTGTACTAGAGGAAGGGAAAGTGCCAAGAATCTGCTTGTAAAATGTGTATTTCCCAGAATCCTTCTCTTCAGGTGGAGGCTCCTCTGCTATACTCTCAAAGCAGCTCAGTATCTGGGAGTTTGAACTTGAAGACTCACGTTTTGCACCTTCACTGTTTATCACCATAATGACCTCCTCCCAAAATGCTGCCTGTCATGGAGAGCTGTGATGGAAACCTGCGTGGGGATCCCACCCTGGCTCTCAGACGTGCCCAGCTAACGGGTCCCACCCACTGTTATAGATGTGCAAACACTGTGAAAGATCAAAAGTTCAAAAGAAGGTGTAAGGGAGAAGCCCTTTGCCAGCTGCTGTGGGCACCATGAGGCTCCTCAGCCAGTGCTGGCAGCTGCTTTGCCCAGCCCACCAGTGACCAACCGAGGACCAAACTGAGCAGTATTGTTGTGTTTGGGGTAGGCTGAGGGTTAAATCCTTCACAGATGGGGTTCTTGGCTTTGGTATAGTTCCCTGGGGTCCTACTTGGGACACGGAGACCCTCTGGCAGGTTTGTATGGCTGCTAAAGCACGCAGGCAGGGCACAGATATTGCATTTTTTGCCTCTGGTTGATGCTGCTGACGGGGTGCTGGGCTGACTCCGTGTCCTGACCCCCTGTTCCTCTTCCCCTCCCCAGAAAATGAGTTTCGGGGTGAGCTGCTGAATCAGAGGTGGACCTGCGGAGAGAAGATCAGCAGCTGCAAGGGAGCCGCCAGCCTGCACGGCACACGCATCAAGGTGAGGAGAAGACCCTGGGTCCTCCACAAGCGTGGGCTTCTTCAGTACAGTGACCTCCCACCCCATGCGTTGGCCACAGGATGGAGGCCACGTGCTGCTCCAACCCTTAGGGACCACCAGGTGGTCCTGGGGGGATGAAGCCTTTCCGGTACCCAAAAGGATGGGCAGGACTTGGGAGTCTCTGTCTCCTCGCTACAGCCAAACTCTCCTGCGTGGTGAATCCGAGCAGGGAGGGCTTCCAGCTGTCAAGGTTTGGCTTTGAATCCAGATATTTAAATCCTCGCCTTCCTCCCCAGTCCCATCCTTCAAGGGATGGGTATTCAGGTCAGTCCCAGTTAAAATAGGCCCTTTCTCTGAGGCGCCGGCTGGTCGGAAGAAGCCCCTCGTGCACCAGGTGAAGCCGTGGTGCCTTCAGAGGAGACAAGCGAGCCATTCATCCCCCCTCCCGGGCACCCTGGGCAGCTCCGGGGGGCTCGACAGAGCTGCCCATTTACTGCTGCAGCTGTGGCTGCTGAAAGAGGTCCAGCCAAGGCTCTCAGCCCTCCTGGCACGCTCGCTGCCGGCAGACTCAGAAGCTTTCATTAAGCAAAGAACCGGGCAGCTCGTTACACAAATGGCGCTTCCTGTCTCATTTGGGCCTCTTGGTAGCGAGGCAGCATCTCAGATGGGTGGTTGGACCCACCTGGGTGGCAGAGGAAGCCTTTCCTGGGGGACTGATGTTACCAGCTCTTCCTGTATCCTCAAATAAACCAAGCCCTGGGAAAAGCCCAAACCAGCAAAAATCCACCCTTTAAAACCCATCCTTCTTCACTAACAAGCTGTCAGCTGCAGGTGCCACCAGGAAAGCTCACACCTTCTTAGAAAGCAGAGTAAGCAGTTGTTGCTATATTTAAAATGAGCTCAATTAAGGCTTTTCTATTGAACCTGCCAAATAAGCACTTAGATGGGATTTAATAAGATTGTTGTATGTTAATAAAGTGATGATTACAAAAGGTAATATTCCTGCTACCTGGAGCTCATCTAGTGCTCTGCCCCTGCCAAGAACATTGCTGATATTAACCTCTTCTTGCAACCCTCAGCTCTGCTTATCTGTGCTTTAACAGTGATTGCTCTGGGGGCAAGAGGAGGAGGAGGAGGGGAGGGGGCGTGTGATGCAGGAGCAGGATTTTAGGAGCTTTTGGAGGTGGTGGTGCTGGTCCTGCAAAGCTAGGTCCACAAAGAGTCACATTGTGGGATGTTGAGAGCATGCAAGGGCCTTATCCTGCCCATCTTGGGAGGCAAAACGGAGCCTGTTGGCTTGAGGTGCACGAGTGAGCAACAGCTGAATTCTGGTGCTTTGTTGTAAAACCCAAATTGAACTTGAATGGCAGGAGGAAGGAGCAGGTTGGCTTTGCTAAGGCTGTCGCTGGCTTCCTAGGAGCAGTTTTCCCCATGCATTGCTTTAAATCTGTTTAGGCAAAACAAATGCTGCTGAACTGATCTCTTTTCCTAAAATCCAGGTAGAACTTTGGATAGTTTTAGGCCTGGATATTGTGTGTCTGTGCGGATGTCTCCCCTCACGGGGGGAGAGAGGTCTGGGTCCTTCTCTAACCTTCTGTGCACATTTGCATTTGCACGTGTGCTCACAAGTACAGATTGCATTTAAATGCAGTTCTCCGTGGCAGTTATGGGATGTGCAGCGGTGAAGGACAATGGGATGTGGGGCACGTTTACTTATTTATTTCTGCCTCTAAAGGATTCCAGGCGCAGGATAAAATTTCCCATGACAGGTCTGAAATGAGATCTCTGAGGAGCTCTGGGGAGAGGTGCTCTCAGCACGGAGCCAGCTGAGACCATCTGCGTGTCTAAGAGTCATGTAGATGTGGTGCTGAGGGATGTGGTTTAGTGCTGGACTTGGAAGAGTTAGGTTAAGGATTGGACTTGATGATCTTAAAGGTCTTTTCCAACCTAAACGTTTCTGTAATTCTATGGATGCTCCTGGACCACGGCGATTGATGGAGAAATGAACCTTTCTCTCCCAAATCTTTTATATTCTCTCGTGGTGAGCTAGCTGGGGGTACTGCTGAGTGGTGAACAGGCTGTTGCTGAAGGCTGGCTGCTGTTTGGAGGGGCAGAGCTGCTTTTGATGGGGATGCTCTGCCCCGAGCCCCGGCTGCTGCACTTCTCCTCGGAGACACTCACGTAGCTCACTTCAGCGATCGCCTCGTGTTGTGCCACTTGAGGATAATCTCCTGGAAAAAAAGCAGCTTATTACCAAGCTTGAAAACAATGAGGTTGAAGAACGGCAATATTTGGCTGTTGGGGTTTTTTTCTCCTCCTTTACCCTTCCTCTTCTAAGAGCTGTTTGCATGCACGGAGCTACTGAGGTGCATGAAATCCCGTTTGGATTGCGCGTAACGGTGCTTTCGCTCACCAGGAAAGCGTGTGTCAACTCAAACCACTGCCTAGGAGATCACCCCAGTCAGCGCTGCAGAGGCCCACGCTACAGCCAGGCTGTCTCCAGCGTGGTGCTCTGGAGCATCTTTTCTGGTCTGTTTCCTTTTGTGGGGGACGTCCCCGCGATCGCTGCTGAGCGGTCGCGCTCTGTGAGCGTTTCGTTGGCAGCATCAGAGAGGGGTTTGGTTTGTTGGCTGGGGGTTGGAGCTTTTCTGCAAATGCAGACTGACAGCAGGGCTTCAGGAGGGTGTTTGTGACACAGCTGTGATTTTTAATTTGAGGTGGGTGCAAGCTGTGATTTTTTTTGCATCTGAAAATGTCGTGGCAAAATCCCCCCCCCCGACTCCGAGCCTGTGAACACCACGCAGGGTGTCCTTTCCTGGAAGCAGTCAGAGAGCAAAAGGCAGCCAGTAGTTTATTCAGCTGAGGACAGGACTCACAATAGGTGGAATGTCAGGAGGATTTAAATCAAGCAGCAAGGAAAACCCTAAAGGAAGAAGTGGGAGGGATAAAACCAACCCCAACCTCAGAGTGTGGTTATAAAATAGCAGCTGGGAGCTACTATTGAGCCTTTTTTTGAAAGTAGACTCTTGATCAAGGGAATTTTTTTCCTCTATCACCCCTTACTCAACAGCTAGAGGAGGGCCAGCAGGACAAAGGCCTCTCTATTTGCTTCAATGACTGATGATGTTGTAAGACTTTGCATAGAGCAAGTGGGAGAGATTTGGAGACCCAGCTCCAGGTCTCTCTACCCATATTCAGCCTGTAGCAGCCAAGAGAGGACTCCTCATGGGGTAGAGAAACACACCCAAGACCCACCCCAAATAAAATAGAGGCACAGGGAGGAGGAACCAGGCCAGGCCATCCAAACCCAACCTCACCAGCTGGTGGGTGCTGAGGGGCAGGTCTGGTGCCTGGCTGTGATTTGCCCCATAGTCTACACTCAGCTGGACCTTGGGGTTTGCTCCCTTCGTTGGCTCATGCTGATGAAGTGGTCCTCGGGTAGGAAAAGAGCAGAGGACAACAGGACAAAATTAGCCAGCAAATTCATCTTCCACAGTGAGAGTTTGAAGGAATTTGGTGGGAGAAGGTTGGTGCTGGTGGAGGTTTCCCACGCAGCATCCTTCTCCCTTCCCTTCTCTCATCCTGGCTTTCAACCCAGCCCTGAAATGAGGTTGCAGGAGCTGGACCATCTTCTGAGTCTGCATGGACAGGGTAGAATGAGGTGTAGTGGGGTCCTACCTCGTTAGGATGGTCAGTGCTGCCTTTCTCCTTGAGGGAATAAAGAAGGGGACCTGGAAGAGGGGAAGGAACTGGTAGAAAACCACTTTTCAACAATTCTGTAGGAAAACCATCATTCCTTCTGGCATCTTCCTCCTCCTGCTTTATCCACTGCTAGGCAAATTTAATGGTTTGTTGGTTTTTTATTTTTTTTAATTAAAAATAGAGGCTCTGTCCCTCTAAAGCTTCTTGCAAGTGGCATTTGGCTGCGTCCACAAATAAGCACTGATGGAAGCTCTGCGGCTTTCAGCGTCAAATAAATATTCCT